ATATATATTTTTTCACATTTATTACAAGAATTCTCTCAATGTCAGGTCCGTGATCGTAAGAGGGAATTCTTAAACAATTATCTTTTCCATGCCCTTTTAAGACAGTCTTGGCCACAAAGCTATAAAGAAGTCTTTTGTGTTTCTATTAAAGGCTATTTAATATGATTTTCTAATTTTTACCCTAAACTAACTCGGAATTGTCTATGAACTTCTACTACATTTCTTTGTTTACAAACGACGATTGCTATTTTTTTTTTCTTTTTAAAAAATTTTAAAAAAATTTTTTTTTTTTTTGCCCTACGCATATTGCGAAATGGCGGGTTTTAGAAAATACTTTTTTTAAAAAATTTTTTTTTAAAAATTTTTTAAACTCCCAAAATTTTTTTTAAAAAAAAATTTTTTAGGAAAAGGGGGGTTTTTTTTTTTTTTTAAAAAAAAAAAAAATTTTTTAAAAAAATTTTTAAAATTGGGAAACAAAAAAAAAAAATTTCCCCCTTTTTTTGGGGGGCCTTTTTTTTTTTTTAAAAAAAGGGGTTTTTTTGTTTAAAAATTTTTTTTTTTTAAAAAATTTTTTTTTGGGGGTTTTTAATTTTTTAAATTTTTTTTTTTTTAAAAAAAAAAATTTTTAAAAAAAAATTTTTTTTAAAAAAAATTTTTAAAATTTTTTTTAAAAATTTTATTGTGGCACCTAATACCTACACTTGTCTTTATATTTTCAGTAGAAATCAAAAGATGTTTTAGATTGATAGTATTCTACATCACACTATTATCTTTTAAACAGCTGCATATACACTGTTATCTTTTGAGGAGCTGCATATATATAACAGAATGATATTTCAGATATTCAACTGACAGATACATTCGAGGGTTCAAAGGTAAAAGGTAATACCTGCCATTTTCTAGATTTCAAGAAAAACGCAAAAAACATATATTTTAATACAACTTTATTTTCCGTAATATTTTTATAACAATTTTGATTCTCCCATATTTGTTGACTACATTAGACAATATTTTGTTTAGTTTACCTTGCTTGGTGCTGATAAAACACTGTAATTATGTTTTGTTTTAAAGTTCTAAGATCAAAATAATATCATTTTACAGAAAAAAAGGTAATAATTGTACTTAGACCCTGTCAAGACAACAAGTTTGAGCGGTAAAAGGTAATAACTGCACTTACGACCTTTTACTTCTGAAGGTTTAGCAATAAAAGTTCGAGATAAATTGTGGTAAAAGGTTATAAGTGCAGTTATAGCCTTGTTCCTCTGAAAAAATTTAGATGTTGCAGTAATTGTTACTGTTGCAAATTTATTAATTATGTCCTCACTTTGAAAAATCTTACGTAATGTAATTAACACACATGCACAATAATACTCGTACACAAAATTGACAATTTTATTCATAGAAATATGAAACATGTACCTGCTCAATATTTAGATTCTACAGGAATGAATTGATAACTAAAAAGTTAGGAAAATACGCACTTAAATCTAATTTTACAAATTTTCATTTATTTTGAATGTTCTCTGGTGTCAAACAGACCCCAAAAATCAGCAATTAAGGATATTAGTGACCTATATCAAAGTTAAGTAAATAAACACTACTGTTTCATGTCACAAAATGTGAATGTTTGTCATTAATTATTTCATGAAGTTCACTCATCTTCTTCACTCTCACTAACAGTTTGTCTTTTATAGATTGATTTGCTGCATGGCAATGACTCGTTATATGATTCGTACTCATTCGGTATTGTCCCAGAGGAAACAAGTGACATCAAATCAGCTTTTTTGCAGCATATATTGAAAGTTTCTCTGTATAAGCCTTTCGTGGAGCCTTAAGAGACTTTTCTTTGCTTTTGCTCTTCTTCTGCATTAACCTAACTTCCTTGAACTCACTAACATCCAAAACCATAGTTCACAAAAATACTGTATTCTTTCATTTCTTTGTCTTTACGAACTTGAATCCATTTTATATTCAGCCAATTAACACATTCTCCATCAACATCAATTTTCATTGAGCCAAAGTTGTGTTCTTTGTACATATTGTATTCTAGTATGTCAGTGTATTTTATCAGAACGACAATATGGTTGCTTCCGGCGTGCTAATGATATAACTGTTTCCCACTGAGATGGAACATGTACTTTTGTGAGGCTTTTTGCATGCTCGACAGGTACATGTATGGAATCACATTCCATTTCTGAATGAGTAAAATTGTGGTTTATACACTTGTTGTGAGGAATATGCTGGACACAGTGAACTAAGCAACTTGCAACAAACTGATTGCGATTCTGTCCCCCACATGTATCACTATATAATGTCTCTTCTTCAATAACAGATGTCTTACTTGCATCAGAAGTAACATACAAGTACATACAAGTTCCTACTTCGCACGAGCCTCGTCTCCCCAAAGATAACAAGTCCCGTTACTATTTCCCAGTTCATAGAATGACAAATTGTAACAACACAGTTTTCTTTTGTAATAAAAATCACCAATTAAACTGCATGGTGTTTGGCGATACGGCCTGGATATCAAATGCCGACACAGAAAACATTGGATCTTTCTTTGCCCGTTCTTTATCGGCTGATTTTTTCATTCTAGCATTGTTTTTATTTGTTTGGGTCGTCAGACCAAACAAATGATGGTAGCGAAATTTCAGACTCTAATGCTGTTAATTGCAAGGGCCGAAAGTAGTCCGCTTTTTTTGAAGCGGTTACTTCCCTTTATATGTAACACTTAGGCTGAAAAATTTAGGGGAGATCACTGCGTAAATATGGTAATATGACAGGCGGATTAATTTTCAAGCAAAATAATTCCCGAATGGTCGAATATTTCTAATATTGTTTTATTCTTTATAGATATACATGCTTATAGTAAGCGCCATGATTATTTACACAAGTGTTAAACAACAGTTAGCGTCGTTGCAAACCCTAACTAGAATAATATGGTTTTCTTCAGGCCATTAACATATAAATTCACCGTGGCCGAGGGGTTTCCGCGCTCGCTAAGGAAGCGAGAGGTCTGTAGTTCAAATCCCAGTCAAGGCAACTCATTTTTTTCAAATTGTTTAAGTCAAATAAACATTGGATCGAATATCAGTGTTGCAATTAGTCTTATAGCCATTCTACTACAATTAAAACACTGGAAAGCATTGGTGGCACTATACAAAAATAAATTATTTTATAATCTCACAACCTTCACCTTTCTGACATTCTGAGACCCAAACAAATTCAGCGCCTTCTGTGCTTTGATTTCTTTCTTGGTGTGCCTGATATTTTGCTTTTGTTGCCTCATCTAGTCTATCTCTATTCTCAAAGTGTCATACAGATTGCAGAGTGGACATTGATCTTTCTTAGGATGGAAGAAAGACAAGTTATATTCTGTGCAAAAAAATGTTTCTGTACACAGCCTCTGAAGCACACCTTCTATTTTGTCCTTTGCATTTTTCTTCATACAGTGAGTACATTCGTCTTATACTTAAATCTTGCGTTAGATACTTCCTGTTGAGGTCTTTTCGTGTGTAGTGTGATTCAAAAGTCGGAAAGCTTTCGATGCGTTTCTTTACAAATGATCTGTGACATTTCTTTGTTTTATTTCCAGGCACAGCTTTCCCTTTCTTGTCATTTCCAACACATCACCCTGCCACTTTGTGCTTAACTGCGTTTGCAACTGTTTTGGAACCGATATCGAGAGTTTTTAGAAAAAGTCATTGCACACTCTAACCATTTTGCAAGAAACTGTGAAGAAAAACGAATTGAAATAGTTCTTTGTTTTCTTCTCTATTTAGATACCTTCTCTGGTTCCTTATTGGCAACATGGAAACAAATGAATTGCCTCTGACTTTTGTAATCACCCATTGACCAGTATGTACTGGATATTTTCTGTCTTTCATCTTCGGTGCATTTAAATTTACAAGATAAATTTCTTGGAAAAGAGATAACAGATAGTGCCTGTGAAGTGTATGAATGCAGTATTCTGTCAGAGGAAAAAGGTAATAAAATCAGTTATAACCTTTTTCCACTACAGATTCTTCACAACCTGTTGAACAACAAGTAAACAACGGGTAATAAGTACACTTAGAACCTTTTACCCCTACATAATTTGTAGAAAAGAAGTTATTACAAAATACTTTTTAATGTTTTGCCCTTATAAGGATTGAATATTTATATAATATTTTCGCCAAACATAAAGGACAATAAGTACATTATGAAAAACATAAAAAGTCGATTTCAGCAAAAATGGCAGTTATAACCTTTTACCTTTGAACCCTCGCATTGATACATTTTTAAAAAGGAATGCATTAAGACACGCCAATTCTCATCAACTTCACAGCAATCTACAATCTATTACAAAGGAAACTTTATTTAAATGAATTTTGAAATCAGTGCTTTAAAGTTATACGAAGCCGTTCAAAATGGGATGTAGTTAAAATGTCTGAGAAAAAAATTAAGAGTTTTTATTAATGTCTGAGAAAAAAATTAAGACTTTTTATTATTACTAGAAGTAAGTTATCAAGAACTACATGTATATTGCCAATAAATGTAAATAAAATATCCATTACAATTATATATATTATGGCAAAATGAAATAAAAATTTTATCATTGCTTTTTACATGGAAGTTTTTTCTTTTTCCTATCTCTTTTGGGTTTTACGTCGGACCAACACAGTACTGGTCATAATTATGACAACTTCCCAGCTTTACTGGTGGCGGAAGACCTCACGTGCCCTTCCAGCACGGACTGGCACTTGAGTAGAGCCACTAACGATCTTAAGCAAGTTGGGTAGCTTCCTCACATATGTTTGTCGGGATTCGAACTCAAAGCAGCGAGAAGTCAACGACCTTAACCACTCTGCAACCTAGGGGAATTAAAGCACTATGAAAATTATTAGGTTGCCCAAGGAGGTTTACACTTGGTAAGTACATCTGTAATTATTTATTGATTCCTAGGTTTATAACTTCTTTCATGAGTTAAAAAAGAGCACAAATAACAGTAAATCCAAGAATATAATGATATAAATGTTTATTAACTAAGCCTTTATTCTTACACACAGTTCATACAGACAGGTGAAGTTATGATTACAACAAGAATTTGTAACAGAGTTACTAACGTCCCCCGCCTCGGGAAGTTTTATATGAAGCATAAAATTGTGCTATTTCAAAAGATTGAAGTATGGATCTCAGGACATTCAGTCCAAAATTATGATCAATGCTAGATCTGCAAATGCAACAATAAATTTGTTAAAAAATAGAATGAAACACGGAATTTAAAAATCTATCATGTTGACCTCTAAGTGTGACCTTGACCTTGGAGGTAGGGGAGCAGGTGTTGTGCATGACATAATGTCTTATTATTGAGACTATTTGTGCCAAGTATTTTAAAAATCCCTTGATCTATGAAGAAGTTATAGATTGGACACAAAATATACCCTATTACAGACTATGTGAATCTTTGACCTCTAAGTGTGACCTTGACCTTGGAGATAGGTGTACAGATGTTGCGCATGACATATCACCTAATCATTGTGATTTTTTGTGCCAAGTATTTTCAAAATCCCTTAATCTATGAAGAAGTAATGGACGGGATACAAAATATACCAAATTACAGACTCTGTTAACCTTTGACCTCTAAGTGTGACCTTGACTTTGGAGGTAGGGTCGCAGGTGTTGTACTTGACATGTCATCTTATTATTGTGACTATTTGTGCCAAGTTATTTCAAAATCCCATGAACTATGAAGAAGTTCTAAATCCGACACAAAATATACCCTATAACAGACTATGTTAATTTTTGACCTCTAAGTGTGACCTTAACCTTGGAGGTAGGGATGCAGGTGTTGCGCATGACACATTCTCTTATTATAGTGACTATTTGTGCAAAGTATTTTCAAAATCCTTTGATCTATGAAAAAGTTATGGACCGGACACAAAATTTACCCTGTAACAGACTATGTAAGTATTTGACCTCCAAGTGTGACCTTGACCTTGGAGGTAAGTGACCGGTTTTTGCGCATGACACATCGTCTGATTATTGTGAACAATTATGGCAAGTATTTACAAAGTTCCTTTATAGAAAAGAAAGTTATGGACCGGACACGATATATACCCTCAAATAGACAATGTTGACCTTGAATGAGCAAGTGGGACCTAGACCCTGGAGGTAGGGGTATGGTTGTTGCGCATGACACATTGTCTAATTATAATAAACATTTGTGCCAAGTTATTTCAAATTCCTTTCATAAATGACAAAGTTATGGACCGGTCACGAAAGTGTGACGGACGGATGGACGGAGCCTATTTCTATGTCCCCCTTTTTTCTTCGAAAAGGTGGGGGACAACAAATAATCTTATATACATGTACATATATAATGTAACATCAATATCTATGCAAGTAAAATATGTAATTACTAAATGTTTAAGTGTCAGTAATGGTAAAATTATTTCTCAGCATATGGAAAACATTCTCAACGAGTATCGCGACCAAAACTAGAAATAGATCAGGTGTCAACTGTGCAGTATGCTCTACTCTGCACATCATTTGATAGTCAAATAAAGATTAGTTAGTTAAGGTAATAAATGAGCATTCCAGATTACATGAAAAACCATACATTACCTTACCTTGAGAAATAAATGAGAATGTCTCTAAAATTGTAATCAATAAATCAGGTGGTATGAAAACGCACAATTTTGTGACAATTCACGAGATGTTGAAAGTTATGCATTCGTGTTTGCAACTTAAGATACTGTTCATAAGATTATGTAGATATATAAAGAGAGATATATAAAGAGAAAGTTGGAAAATATCATAATAAGCTAGGACATTTATTTCATACCACTGACAATAAAAATATTACTGTGTCAACATATGTCCATTCTACCACAATGTTTATATCTTACTTGGTGTAATCATAAAATGAGAAACAAAAGTTTAAAATCTTCCATTTAGACAAGAAGGAAAATACATTTATTTATACAAAGCACATAATAACAAGCAAAGGTTATAATATTCATTTAAAGAGTCACCCAGTTTTACAAGAAAACATTACATCTCTATATTTTAACCGGGACTTGCACATACCTTGTCTCAGATTTTATGAATTTATCAGAATTAGACTTGAATTTATTGTTCAGAAGTTTTAGTAATTGGAAATGTTTTACTTTAAAAAAAAAGAAGAAAGAAAGTAAAATGTTCAAGAGTAAAAAAAGTGTTGAAGTTCTCTCTGAACCATCCATTATTTCTGTAGTTTTCTGTAGTTTTAAGGAAACATAATTCACATAATCTGCAAACTCATCATAAACCAAGCAAGTAGTGTTCATCAGGGCTGTATGTATTTTCTATTGCCGTCTTGAAAACAATCTATGGCATTGCTTCTGTCTCACTATTTACAACTGAATAAAAAAATAAAAGCACATTGTGTATTTCATCATATTATATAACAAATATCAAACAAGGGTTGTCAAAAAATGGACAGTCACTCATCTATTTTCAGTGCTTGTTAAGTTAACAAAAACAACTGGGTTCTTTAAAGGGAGCAGGAATGTTGGATTCTATCACTTTGATAGTTTTGCTGTTCTGGATAACTTTTATCATGGAGAGTTCAAAATCAGACAATGTTTGTTCATGACATGTTTTATCACAATGACTGTATATAACTTGATGTACAAATAAACTTGTATATTATTTGTTGTATCACTTTGTTTGTATATCATCTGTTGTATCACAATGTTTGCATATAACATGTTGTTTCACTTTGTTTGTATATAACCTGTTGTATCACTTTGTTTGTATATCATCTGTTGTATCACAATGTTTGCATATAACATGTTGTTTCACTTTGTTTGTATATAACCTGTTGTATCACTTTGTTTGTATATAACCTGTTGTATCACAATGTTTGTATATAACCTGTTGTATCACTATGTTTGTATATAACATGTTGTATCAAAATGTTTGTATATAACTTGTTGTATCACTAAGTTTGTATATAACCTGTTGTATCACTATATTTGTATGTAACATGTTGTATCACTATGTTTTTATATATCTGTTGTATCACTATGTTTGTATATAACCTGTTGTATCACTATAATTGTATGTAAACTATTGTATCACTATGTTTGTATATAACCTAGTGTATCACAATGTTTGCATATAACCTGTTGTATCACAATGTTTGTATATAACCTGTTGTATCAAAATGTTTGTATATAACTTGTTGTATCACTAAGTTTGTATATAACATGTTGTATCACTATAATTGTATGTAAACTGTTGTATCACTATGTTTGTATATAACCTGTTGTATCACAATGTTTGTATATAACCTGTTGTATCACTATGTTTGTATATAACATGTTGTATCAAAATGTTTGTATACAACTTGTTGTATCACTAAGTTTGTATATAACATGTTGTATCACTATGTTTGTATGAAACCTGTTGTATCACTATGTTTGTATATCACCTGTTTTATCACTATGTTTGTATATAACCTGTTGTATCACAATGTTTGTATATTACCTGTTGTATCACAATGCTTGTATATAACCTGTTGTATCACAATGTTTGTATATAACCTGTTGTATCACAATGCTTGTATATAACCTATTGTATCACTATGTCTGTATATAACCTGTTGTATCACTATGTTTTTATATATCTGTTGTATCACTAGGTTTGTATATAACCTGTTGTATCACTATGTTTTTATATATACAGTTGAGTTCACACTAAAGGTTACACAAAGTGCACTAGGAGTGCACTAGATGTGCACTACTAGTGCACTTCAAAGTGCACTAGTAGTGCACTACTAGTGCACTTCATAAGTGCACATTGTAGTGCACCAGACCTATTATATGTATTAAGCAGATACCTTTTATTTCACTGAATAGCAATTTGACTTTTACAAAAAGAAAGATAAATATAGATATCTGTATAATAGTTTTTTATAAAAAATTTGAAGTTGTGAATATTGGATTTTGTAAAATATTGCGTAAAATATTAGAACAATAATTTTTCAAAGTCATTAATTTTACTGATTTTAAAACTTAATTGTTAGAATAAGTAAATATAAATAATTATAACTTTGATGTTGATAAGTGCATAAACAAACAAAATTAATTGATATTGAATATGATTCTATTTTATTATAATCTGGTAATGAAATATGGAAGTACATTTAAATGCTAGTTAAACAAAATTCAGTCAAGATTTTCTTTTTTTTTCTTTTTTTTTGTAATAGCCTTTAATACATTAAAGATTTAATATGTTTATAATTGGCCAAAATTTTGTCAATTTTATCTAATTTATAAACTCTCTTACCTTCTGAAACTGAGATTTACCTAAGATTATTATAAATAGAATCCCGGACAATCCCCCTCCCGGACGATTCCCCTTCCATATTATTTTCACAACCCGGACATTTCCCCTCCCGTTATTTTAATAGGGCGGACTTTTCCCCTCCCGTTAATTTTACAGGGCGGACAATTCCCCTCCCGTTATTTTAGCAGAGCGGACAATTCCCCTCCCGTTTTTTTCACAGAGCGGAACGTGACATACGGCCCTTAATCATAGCCGCCACTGCGTATAAAAAAATCTATAACCATTCTTATTAAAGATGACAGTTTTTACTCTTAACAATAAACTGTTAAAGATCGGAACTTTTCACATTCATTATTTCACAAAAGTGACATTATACCGCCTTTAATCATTGCCGCCGCTGCTTAAGATAAACAAACTGTCAATAAAAAATCTTTAATCATTGCCGCCCTTAATTAAATGTGTCCTTGATTGCAAAACCAATTAAAAATGAAGGCGAATATTCCTAAAAATGTGTTCAATCATATATAAAATCAAAATGATCACTGATATTTTGTGTTAGGACTTCATGTACTGATTCAATATGGTGAATGTGATTTTCTAATCATAATGACGATGATGACAGTTCAATTTACTATAACATGTGAATAATATATTTTTTGCAAGAATCTACAGCTTAATTGCTTTTTTGTTCATATCAATTGTTCTTTTATTGTTTTGCCGCTGCAAAAATGTATTGACGAAATAAAGATTATTTAAAAAATGCGTTCTGTTTTGTTTATATTCATGTATAAAAATTGGGGATATACCATTCGCATGTATTTAAAGCCGATTGAAAATACCTTTCAAATAAACAATATTATATAATATATATATGAGCCGTGTCACGACAAAACCAACATAATGGGTTTGCGACCTGCATGAATCCAGACCAGCCTGCGCATCCGCGCAGTCTGATCAGGATCCATGCTGTTCGCTTTTAGTTTCTTTACTTGTTATAGGGTCTGTAAGCGAACAGCATGGATCCTGATCAGACCGCGCGGATGCGCAGGCTGGTCTGGATCCATGCTGGTCGCAAACCCATTATGTTGGTTTTGTCGTGACACGGCTCATATATTCAACAGCCACGGGAGGGAAATTGTCCGCTCTGACAACAGCGGGAGGGGAATTGTCCGGGTTGTTAAAAGAACGGGAGGGGAATTGTCCGGGTTGATAAAAGAACGGGAGGGGAATTGTCCGCCGTAAAAAAAATAACGGGAGGGGAAATGTCCGGGTTGTGAAAAAACATTCAAATTTACTGGGAGGGGAATCGTCCGGGAGGGGAATTGTCCGGATACCTTATAGATGATATATATTATTCTAAAAATAAATATTTAATGGTGGTATATTAAGTATTGATACGTGTGGATAAAGTATTGATATGTACCTGTGGGGCACTAGTATACATGTACTTTAAGTGACATGGATATTAACAAAAAGTTTAGAAAATCTTTCAATTCCATTTTTTGAGACAACACCAATTTTTTTTCTTCTTTTTTTTGCATTGTAACATAATTATGCAATATGATTATTTTTATGAGTTTATTATAATATGCAAAAATATTTCAGTTTTCTTTTTTCTTTTTTGTACTACTTGTAATGAAATTTATTTGCACCAACATCCTGAGAATACAGAATTTACATTGCCTACTTATATTTATCATCCGCCTTTTGTTATTTACCCTGAGGGGCTCTCTTATCAGCAGGGCACTATATTAAAACACCAATACACAGCATGACTATTGACACATCAATCTTCTGTAACTGTTTTCTGCTCATGTATGGTATTTTATCAACAAAAAAAGAAAGAAAAAAACAGATCTGCATTAAAGTGAAAAGGAAGTTGCAGAAGTTTTATAATCATGTATTTAAATATTTTTTAAAAAAATATATTATCTTCTAAATGTGTTAAAACTGACAAAGTAAATTGTAATCTTGTAATTTTGTTGTGATTAATGCTTCCGAGGGATCACTTTTTTCCAGAATTTTGTCAAATCTATAATAAAAAAATTAACATTTCCCAGTTCAGAAACTAAAAGATGATTTATGTGGATAAATATTGTGGATAAATATTGATATGAGGTCTCTCCAGAATAGTTAACACTGATATTGATTTTAAACCAGTTTTTTATGATAAGATTAGAAAATTCCACTTCAAAGACAATAATGACAATAATATCTAACATGCGTTTATGCCATTATTATTATTTTTTACATTTGATTATACAAAAATTATAGTCATTAAATGTGGATAAATATTGATATGAGGTCTCTCCAGAATAGTTAACACTGATATTGATTTTAAACCAGTTTTTTATGATAAGATTAGAAAATTCCACTTCAAAGACAATAATGACAATAATATCTAACATGCGTTTATGCCATTATTATTATTTTTTACATTTGATTATACAAAAATTATAGTCATTTATCTTAGATGTCTTACATGTATTTTGGGGAAAAAAACAGGAAATTTTAAATAAATATTGCATATATCCTTATCAGCAGGAGACCAGTATAATGAAAGCAGGCATTCTCAAAAAATAACAATACACAGCATGACTTGAGGCTGTCCTCTTGTATAAAAGCATTCCCTTTATACATTAAATTTTTAATATAGAAATCTTAAATAAAGTTATCAATTTTATTTATTTCATGCACAGATATATAAACTTGTATTTAGCTCCATGATTTCATGGAAAAATTCTAATTATTTATATCTTTAAAAGTATGCAAGCATTTCATGGTTGAAAAACATAGTATCACAGTGTATGGATTGTGTGTATATTTGATTACACAAAAATTATTGTCATTTATCTATATGACTAACTAGCCTGAGTGCCAACGTCTGATGAATCCCAGGCTTATTTTTAACATGCATTTTGAGAAAACCAGAGAATTTCAATGCATACTTATAATCCGCAAAATTGACTGTTCTTTGTTATTTACCCTGAGGCCCTCTTATCAGCTGGAGAGTGGTATGATGCTAACAATCCACCAATTAACACAGCATGACTTGAGATTTTCCTCTTCAATAAAAGTATTCCCTTTATACATTAAATTTTAATATTGAAATCATGAATAAAGTTATCAAATTTATTTATTTTATGGATTATATTTTAATTATTTATATGCTTAAAACGTATGCAAGCATTACACAGTTGAATAATAAATTATCACAGTATTATATTGATTGTTTAAAAATCAATGTATTAATATTCTCTTTCAATATTGAACATAAGGAATTGTCTCTAAGTTATATATTATAGAAATAATATTTTAGCTTTAATATAAACCTTTCCTTGATTTGTTTGAGCTTATGAAAAAAAGTTTATGTTGTTACAAACTAAATTAATTGGGCCCGATTTATCACATTGATTTTCCCATTTGTACACTAGAAAAATTGAAATACATGGCCATTAAAATAGCTTTAAAAAACACTTTTACGCAATTATCCATTACGGAGCATATTTAAATTTAACCTTATTAATTCTATTTCCTAATTTTTTCCTAAAGTTTTTTTTTCTGACAGCAGCTTAACAATGGATGCCCCCCGTCACTTGATATACAATTATCCAATAAACCATTTAGGTGTCACCTTCCCTGGCCAGCCTGGTCATATGGTCTAGTGCACTAGAAGTGCACACGGTGTGCACTTCTAGTTCAGCTCTAGTGCACTAGAAGTGCACAAGGGTGGGAAGTTTAGTGTGAACTCAACTGTATGTTGTATCACTATGTTTGTATGTAACTTGTTGTATCACTATGTTTGTATATAACCTGTTGTATCACAATGCTTGTATATAACCTGTTGTATCACAATGTTTGTATATAACCTGTTGTATCACAATGTTTGTATATAACCTGTTGTATCACTATGTTTGTATATAACATGTTGTATCACTATGTTTGTATATAACCTGTTGTATCACTATGTTTGTATATAACCTGTTGTATCACTATGTTTGTATATAACCTGTTGTATCACTATGTTTGTATATAACCTGTTGTATCACTATGTTTGTATATAACCTGTTGTATCACAATGTTTGTATATAACATGTTGTATCACTATATTTGTATATAACCTGTTGTATCACTATGTTTGTATATAACCTGTTGTATCACTATATTTGTATATAACATGTTGTATCACTATATTTGTATATAACATGTTGTATCACTATATTTGTATATAACATGTTGTATCACTATGTTTGATATAACCTGTTGTATCAAAATGTTTGTATATAATATTGTTGTATCACTTTATTTGTTTTTAACCTGTTGTATCACTTTGTTTATATATAAACCTGTTGTATCAATTTTGTTTATTACCTGTTAAAGAATCATGTTAGTATATTACCTGTTACACCACCAGGTTTGTATATTACCTGTTACACCACCAGGTTTGTATATTACCTGTTACACCATCATGTTTGTTTAATACCTGTTATACAATCATATATGTATTTTACCTGTTATACTTCCATCTTTGCATATAACTATTTATACAATTATGTACGAGGTATGTATATTACCTATTGTTTCACAATTTTTTTCATCAGACCCATCATCACAGTCTGGATGCTGATCACAGCGCTGGGAAGATGTGATACACTTGCTCTGATCTGAACAGAGTTCCTGGCCCTCCGCACAAATCTCTGTAAAACAATACATGTAGTTTATTTCAGATATAATATTGTTTCAATGTGATCCTTGTATTCACCTGAACATAACAACAGTCATTCCCTCAGAAGTGTTTTCAATAACACTATAATTTATACGAAATATTACAGCTCTCTAGTATCCAACAAACAAATAAAATTCTTAAAAATGAGCAATCTATCAAGAAGTTAAAAATGGGTCAAAGACAGAAAAGGCCAGGTTGCATTTGTACACCAAATATCATGAGGCTGTGATGTTACGAAAAAAATTTTCCATTTAACCATTAATGTCGAAAATTTAATTCAGTAGGTAAACAGGTAATGATTAGCTACACACCTAAAATCGAATCCAACAGTATAGGACCATGTGTCAATGCTGCATGCCAAATATCAAGAGGCTGTGATAAGTAGTTGCTGAGAAAACTGTTACGAAAATTTCCTACCATTGACCATTAATGTCAAAAAATCTAACTAATTTAACTAAGTGGATAAACAGGAAGTGGATGAGCTGCAGACTTGAAATCGAATCCCACAGTATGGGACCATGTGTCAATGCTGCATGCCAAATATCAAGAGGCTGTGATAAGTAGTTGCTGAGAAAACTGTTATGAAAATTTCCTAACATTGACCATTAATGTCGAAAAATCTAACTAATTTAACTAAGTGGATAAACAGGAAGTGGATGAGCGACAGACCTGAAATCAAATCCCACAGTATGGGACCATGTATCAATGCTGTATGCCAAATATAAAGAGGCTGTGATAAGTAGTTGCTGAGAAAACTGTTACGAAAATTTCCTACCATTGATGTTGAAAAATCTAACTAATTTAACTAAGTGGATAAACAGGAAGTGGATAAGCGACAGGCCTGAAATCCAATCCCACGGTATGGGACCATGTGTCAATGTTGTATGCCAAATATCAAGAGGCTGTGATAAGTAGTTGCTGAGAAAACTGTTACAAAAATTTCCTACCATTGACCATTAATGTCAAAAAATTTAACTAATTTAACTAAGTGGATAAACAAGAAGTGGATGAGCGACAGACCTGAAATCTAATCCCACGGTATGGGACCATGTGTCAATGCTGTATGCCAAATATCAAGAGGCTGTGATAAGTAGTTGCTGAGAAAACTGTCACGAAAATTTCCTACCATTTGACCATTAATATCGAAAAATCTTAACTAATTTAAACTAAGTGGACAAACAGGAAGTGGATGAGCGACAGACCTGAAATCCAATCCCACGGTATGGGACCATGTGTTAATGCTGTATGCCAAATATCAAGAGGCTGTGATGTAGTTGCTGAGAAAACTGTTACGAAAATTTCCTACCATTGACCATTAATGTCGAAAAAACTAACTAATTTAACTAAGTGGATAAACAGGAAGTAGATGAGCGACAGACCTGAAATCGAATCCCACCGTATGGGACCATGTGTTAATGCTGTATACCAAATATCAAGAGGCTGTGATATGTAGTTGATGAGAAAAGTGTTACGAAAAATTTTTCGTAGCCCGCCCGCCGCCCGACATTCACCATACTATTACCCCGGTTTGCACCTGTGCAACCCGGCCAAAAATAGAGTTTGATCATGACCAGAATAACATTTACAAAATTCTAATGTTGATGGAAAGGTTTCAGACTTTACGTCACATGTCCTTAAATGTTATGGGTGTGGATCCAACCATCTTGATCAATTCCTTGGGCTAACACAAAAGAAATAATCATTATAGTATCTTGGGCCATTCCTCTGACAAACACAATACCTGTCTGCAGACCAACCCTTGATAGTCAACACATTTTTCAAGTTTGAAGTGAATGCCTGACAGTGTTTGATTTTAAGTAAAAAATGGAAATAATTAAGCAAAAAAAGGACTGTCAGGATTATCTGCCCTTTAATAATGCATTTCAAATTTGATACTAATGAACAAGTATTTAAAGTTTGAAGTAAATTACTTTAATACTTTTGAAAAATGTATCTACCAAGGAATTCAAAATCAAAAAGGGGGCATTTAAACTAAAACATTAATTATAAATGTACCGATATTAAGAAATGCATTTCAATTTAATAATAGAATGAGTATTCTACGTTAGAAATGATTAATCTTGACAATTTTTTAAAATTGACCTTAGGGTAAAAGAAAAAAGTATAAATCAAACAAGGGGAATAACTTTGCTAAAATGAATTTTTATCTGCCCTTTTGCAATGGTAGTGAACATGTAATAAAAGTTTGAGCTGAATTACTTTTAGCTTTTATTGTCAATGCCTACAAGAGGGTCATGACCTCTTTTCTGCTTCTAAAAATGGAGCTAACACAATAGAAATTATCATTTTGATATTTAGGCATTCCTCCAGCTAACACGAGATAAATAATTATTCCAGCTAACATGAGAGAAATTATCATTCCAGCTAACACAAGAGAAATTATCACTCTGATATTGAGGCATTCCTCCACCTAATACAAGATAAATTATCATTCCAGCTGCAAATGAAGCATTCCTCCAGCTAACACAGAAGAAACTATTATTCCAGCTGAAGCAGGATAAATAACCATTCTAATCTTGAGCCATTCCCCAGCTATGAAAATTATCATTTTATTATCATTGGCCATTTCTCTGGCTAACACGAGAATAACATTAATCTATAATTTTAATGTCTACACAGGTGATATCAAAACCTAAATGAGAATGTCATCAAAAACAAAATTAAGGGCAACATTGTCGCAAAATACGCCCATCACAAAAGCTTTTGTCGGAGATGTAGGCATTATAGATATACATATAGAGATATGCTCTGGGTAATATCAAGACAATATCTGGATATTTTATCATCTCTAAATTACACGTGTCAGACATGTAGTCATGATAGTTATCTTTTGTGTTACAATCCATCAATAAATGATAAATAAGTGTTATCCGTACACAAACTTTGACCTCTCTTTGTGACCTTGACTTGGTAGCAGGGACCTGGATTATATGCACAATACTTAACTTCAGAATGGTAGTCATAATAATGACCATTTGTGTTTCAATCCATTGATAAAAGATAACTTAATGGTCCCTATACACATCTCTTTATCTGATCTTTGACCCATTGACATTGGCCGCAGTCACTTGAATTTTGCATGTAGCACTCCGCTTTAAAATGGTGAATATTTGTGCCAAGTTATATTGAAATCTCTCTATGCGCGTAGAAGTTTCTCAGACAAGTGTTTTATAATGATCTTTAAGTGTGACCTTGACATTTCACCTAGAGTCCCGGTTCATGTGCATGACACTGCTTTTCATAGTGGTAAACATTTCTATGAAGTTTCATAAGAATCCCTCCATATGTATAGGAGAATATGTTGAGGAGATAATTATGCTATGGACAAAATCTCTGGGAATCTATAATAGAATCCATTTTTCTAATGGGCATCATAAAAACCCTATATGGTCAAGTTAAGCTTACCGTTATTGCATTCTTTCTCATCATCTTCAAATTCACAGTCTGGTACACCATCACACTTTCTTGCCATGTCTATACACATTCCATCACTACAATGATACTCTAATTCAACACAACCTGAAACAATATTTTTCATACATCATTATCATTTCAGAATTTAAACTGTATATTCAAAATCATTCAATGATATCAGTTTCGTAATACATATAAAGAATATTCTTTTATTCTAAACATCTATATACAAGACTTTCACTTTATGACTGACATTACATGTTTTTCAGATTGAAAGTGTGAAGTTGGTGTGTAGAGGGTAAGTTTCCAAAATAAGTGTTGAGTGTAAATATTGTGTGAGATAAGTGTTGAATGGGTAAGTGTTGAGAAAGTGTTAAGAGGGTATTTTTGGATAGAATAAATGTTGTGAGAGTAAGTGTTGAGAGAGTAAACATTGAGACATTAGTTTGGATAAATAAATTTTGAGAGAATAAATGTTGAGAGGGTAAGTTTGGATAGAATAAAGTGTTGAGAGAGTAAATAAGTGTTGAGAGAGTTAACATTGAGAGAGTAGAGTAGGTGTTGAGGGAGTAAATAAGTGTTGAGGGGGGTAAATAAGTGTAAGTGTTGAGGGGGATAAATAAGTGTTGAGAGAGTAAATAAGTGTTGCGGGTTTTTTTTGTAAGTGTTGCGGGGGTTTATAAGTATTGAGAGAGTTAATAAGTGTAAGTGTTGAGGGGGGTAAAATAAGTGCTGAGGGGGGTAAATACGTATTGAGGGGGGGGTGTAAATAAGTGTTGAGGGGGTAAATAAGTGCTGAGGGGTGTAAATAAGTGTTGAGAGAGTAAATAAGTGTTGAGACAGTAAATTAGTGTTGAGAGTGTAAGTGTTGAGAGATTAAGTGTTGAAAGAGAAAAAGTACACAGAAAATAAGGAGAGAGTAAATGAGTGACAGCTGAGAGGCTTAATATCGAGGGTGTAAGTGTTGAGAGAGTAAGTGTTGTGTGAGTTAGTGTTGAAAAAGTAAGAAGAGAGTAAGGGAGTGACAGCTGAAAGGCTTAATATTGAGGGTGTAAGTGGTGAAAGTATTGAAGGAGTAAGTGTTGAGAGTTGTGTGAGTCAGTAGAAAAAGTGTGGTGAGAGTGAATATTGAGAAAGTAGGAGTAGAGAATTTAAGTATTGTGAGAATAAGTATTGAGAAAAAAAATATTAAGATATAAGTGTAGAGAGAGTTAATTTAGAGAGATTAAGTATTGAAAATGTAATTATTATCCCCGGCGATGGATTGGGAGGGGGATATTGTTTTGGTGTTGTCCATCCTTCCGTCCAAAATTTTGTTTCCGCGCTATTTCTCTGCAACTACTGGCTGGAATTCAAGGAAACTTTATAAGAACCACCAATACCAAGAGGAGATGCACATATCATCGCCTTGTTCTGGTCAGACCCTTTAAATTCAGAGTTATGGCCCTTGATTAGTTTTGCAGTATGCATTTAGAGCAATAATCATTTCCACGCTACTTCTCTGCAACTATTTGCTGGAATTCAACGAAACTTTATGGGAACCTTCGATACCAAGAGGAGATGCACATATCATTGCCTTGTTCTGGTCAGACCCTTCAACACAGAGTTATGGCCCATGTTTAGTTATGCAGTATGCTAAATGGAAAAATAATCTTTTCTGTGCTATTTCTCTGCAACTTTTGACTGGAATTCAACAAAACTTTATGGGAACCAATAATACCAAGAGGAGATGGGCATATCATTGCCTTGTTCCACTCAGAGTTATGGCCCTTGATTATTTATGCAGTATGCATAAAGAGCAATAATCATGTCCACGCTATTCTTTGCTACTACTGGCTGGAATTCAACAGAACTTTATGGAAACCATCAATATCAAGAGGAGATGTGCATATTGTTGCCTTGAATGTTAGACCCTTCAACACAGAGTTATGGCACTTGATTAGTTATGCAGTATTTATATAGAGCAATAATTGTTTGCAAGTACTGACTTGAATTCAATAAAACTTTATTGGAACAATCAGTATCAAGGGGAGATGTGCATATCATTGTCTTGTTCCAGTCAGACCCTCCAAGACAGAGTTATGGCCCTTGATTAGTTGTGCAGTATGCATATAAAGCAATATTGCTATTTCTTTTCACTGCTGGATTGATTTCAACAAGACTTGATGGGAACCATCAATAAAAAGAGGGAATTTGCATGTCATGATAAATTTATGTAAACAAGCAAATTCGTTGAATTTATATTCCCCCCTGAGTACTGGTTATTACTAACACAACAACTGAAGACATAAGGCTTTATTTATATATTTATTATGGCATAAACAGTAATATTCTTTGAACTTGATAAATATTCAGGGCAAAAACAGAGCCATAACTCTGTGTTAAATAGTGATATCTGGAAATGCCAATGAGATGTATGCATACTGCATAACTTATCAAGGGCCATAAATCTGAGTTATAAGTGTCTGACAGGAACAAGGCGACTATATGCACATCTCCTCTTCGTATCCCATTAAGTTTCCTAGGGATTCCAGCCAGTAGTTACAGAGAAGTAGCACAGAAACGATCATTGCTCTGGTTGTATACTACATAAGTTATCAAGGGCCATAACTCTGTCTCATGTCTGACCCGAACAAGGCGATGATATGCCCATCTCCGTTTTGTATTGAAGGTTCTGTTAAAGTTTCATTGAATTCCAGCCAGTAGTTGCAGAGTAGTATATTCTCTATATGCATACTGCATAACTAATCAAGGGCCATAACTCTGAGCCCAACAAGGCAATGATATGCGCATCTTCTCTTGGTATTGAAGGTTCCCATAAAGATTTGTTGAATTCCAGCCAGTAGTTGCAGAGAAGTAGCGCGGAAACGATTTTTGCTCTATATGCATACTGCATAACTAATCAAGAGCCATAACTCTGAGTTAAAGAGTCTGACCCAAACAAGGTGACGATATGCCCATCTCCTTTTTGTATTGAAGGTTCCCATAAAGTTTTGTTGAATTCCAGCCAGAAGTTGCAGAGAAGTAGCGCGGAAATGATTTTTGCTCTATATGCATACTGCATAACTAATCAAGGGCCATAACTCTGAATTTAAAGTGTCTGACTGAAACAAGCTGACGATATGTGCATCCTCTCTTGATATTGAAGGTTCCAATAAAGTTTCGTTGAATTCCAGCCAGTAGTTGCAGAGAAGTAGCGCGGAAACGATTTTTACTCCATATGCATACTACATAACTTAAATCAAGGGCCATAACTTTGAGTTTAAGGGTCTGACTGGAACAAGGCGATAATATGGACATCTCCTTTTGATATTGATGATTCCCATAAAGTTTTGTTGAATTTAAGCCAGTAGTTGCAGAGAACTAGTCCGGAAACGAATTTCGGACAGACGGAAGGACGGACAACGCCAAAACTATATCCCCCTCCGATTCCATCGGCGGGGGATAATAAAGCACCTTATGTCTCCAGTTGTTGTGTTAGTAATTACCAGTACTCAGCGGGGGATATAAATTCAACGAATTTGCTTGTTGTGAGAGTAAGTTGGGAGATAGAAGTGTGTAAGATTATGAGTGGAGAGAAAAGAGAAAGTGTGTGATAGTCAGTGTGGGAAGAGAATAAGCATGAGACAGTCTTAAGAGACAGTATGTTAACTTACCACATAGTCAGTGTGGGAAGAGAATAAGCATGAGACAGTCTTAAGAGACAGTATGTTAACTTACCACATAGTCAGTGTGGGAAGAGAATAAGCATGAGACAGTCTTAAGAGACAGTATGTTAACTTACCACATAGTCAGTGTGGGAAGAGAATAAGCATGAGACAGTCTTGAGAGACAGTATGTTAACTTACCACATAGTCAGTGTGGGAAGAGAATAAGCACGAGACAGTCTTAAGAGACAGTATGTTAACTTACCACATAGTCAGTGTGGGAAGAGAATAAGCATGAGACAATCTTGAGAGACAGTATGTTAACTTACCACATAGTGTGGGAAGAGAATAAGCATGGGACAATCTTGAGAGACAGTATGTTAACATACCACATAGTCAGTGTGGGAAGAGAATAAGCATGAGACATTCTTGAGAGACAGTATGTTAACTTACCACATAGTCAGTGTAGGAAGTGTGGGAAGAGAATAAGCATGGGACAGTCTTTAGAGACAGTATGTTAACTTACCACATAGTCAGTGTGGGAAAAGAATAAGCATGGGACAGTCTTTAGAGACAGTATGTTAACTTACCACATAGTCAGTGTGGGAAGAGAATAAGCATGAGACAGTCTTAAGAGACAGTAATGTTACCACTTAGTCAATAAGCATAGACAGTCTTAAGAGACAGTAGTACCACATAGTCAGTGTGGGAAGAGAATAAGCATGAGACAGTCTTAAGAGACAGTATGTTAACATACCACATAGTCAGTGTGGGAAGAGAATAAGCATGAGACAGTCTTAAGAGACAGTATGTTAACATACCACATAGTCAGTGTGGGAAGAGAATAAGCATGAGACAGTCTTGAGAGACAGTATGTTAACATACCACATAGTCAGTGTGGGAAGAGAATAAGCATGAGACAGTCTTAAGAGACAGTATGTTAACATACCACATAGTCAGTGTGGGAAGAGAATAAGCATGAGACAGTCTTAAGAGACAGTATGTTAACATACCACATAGTCAGTGTGGGAAGAGAATAAGCATGAGACAGTCTTAAGAGACAGTATGTTAACATACCACATAGTCAGTGTGGGAAGAGAATAAGCATGAGACAGTCTTAAGAGACAGTATGATAACATACCACATAGTCAGTGTGCATGAGACAGTCTTGAGAGACAGTATGTTAACATACCACATAGTCAGTGTGGGAAGAGAATAAGCATGAGACAGTCTTAAGAGACAGTATGTTAACTTACCACATAGTCAGTGTGGGAAGAGAATAAGCATGAGACAGTCTTGAGAGACAGTATGTTAACTTACCACATAGTCAGTGTGGGAAGAGAATAAGCATGAGACAGTCTTGAGAGACAGTATGTTAACATACCACATAGTCAGTGTGGGAAGAGAATAAGCATGAGACAGTCTTGAGAGACAGTATGTTAACTTACCACATAGTCAGTGTGGGAAGAGAATAAGCATGAGACAATCTTAAGAGACAGTATGTTAACTAACCACATTGTCAGTGTGGGAAGAGAATAAGCATGAGACAGTCTTGAGAGACAGTATGTTAACTTACCACATAGTTAGTGTGGGAAGAGAATAAGCACGAGACAGTCTTAAGAGACAGTTTGTTAACTTACCACATAGTCAGTGTGGGAAGAGAATAAGCATGAGACAGTCTTGAGAGACAGTATGTTAACTTTCCACATAGTCAGTGTGGGAAGAGAATAAGCATGAGACAGTCTTAAGAGACAGTATGTTAACTTACCACATTGTCAGTGTGGGAAGAGAATAAGCAAGAGACAGTCTTGAGAGACAGTATGTTAACTTTCCACATAGTCAGTGTGGGAAGAGAATAAGCATGGGACAGTCTTGAGAGACAGTATGTTAACTTACCACATAGTCAGTGTGGGAAAAGAATAAGCATGGGACAGTCTTGAGAGACAGTATGTTAACTTACCACATAGTCAGTGTGGGAAGAGAATAAGCATGAGACAGTCTTGAGAGACAGTATGTTAACTTTCCACATAGTCAGTGTGGGAAGAGAATAAGTATGAGACAGTCTTAAGAGACAGTATGTTAACTTACCACATAGTCAGTATGGGAAGAGAATAAGCATGGGACAGTCTTAAGAGACAGTATGTTAACTTACCACATAGTCAGTGTGGGAAGAGAATAAGCATGAGACAGTCTTAAGAGACAGTATGTTAACTTACCACATAGTCTGTGTGGGAAGAGAATAAGCATGAGACAGTCTTTAGAGACAGTATGTTAACTTACCACATAGTCAGTGTGGGAAGAAAATAAGCATGAGACAGTCTTGAGAGACAGTATGTTAACTTACCACATAGTCAGTGTGGGAAGAGAATAAGCATGAGACGTCTTGAGAGACAGTATGTTAACTTACCACATTCATCAGAACCGTCAACACAATCAGCAGTACCATCACATCTCCATGACAACGGAACACAGGCATCCTTGCTGTCACAGCGGAACTCACTAGTCTCATTACATACAGTAACTATAAAATCATATAGTAATATCAGTATTATCTATTGTAGATGTATTTCAGCAATCATCTGATTTCAATTTATCGCTAGAATAGGTAACAATTCTTCAATTAATAAGTACTTAGATTAAATTGGGTGTGTCATTATACTGTAGAATATTTGTAGAGGTCAGCTAGGAAATGTTATATGCCAAATAGCTAAGCTTAAGTACTGGCCACAACATTTAAATGTGTCCTATACAAGTCTCTATAAAGTAAGTGGGCATGGCCAAAGGTCAAGGGTGTTGACTACAAACAACTTTTTCTCTCACTGCTGAGGTTATAATCCCACCAGAAACTTTGGATTATTTCATATGAAGAAGCTACACAGCTAACTTAAGGATCACTGGTGGTTATTGTCATCCAGGGTAGTACTTGTAGACCCCCCTGTCCATGTGTACCTTGAAGTTTACTTGAAATACCCCAGAGTACTTTATGGTACTCAGATATACTCTTTGGTACATGGTATTACTAAAATACCCCCAACTTTGATTCCTGCAGTAGCTTTATCAAATATGCATAACAGTATATTTTTAAACACACACAAACAATTTCTTCAAAAACTCTAGTTATATCCACCATACATATATGTTTGTATTGTCATTAAATCTAATGATACACCAAATCCACCCCACACCAAACCAAACAAAACTAAGATAAATAAATAAATAAAATTAAAAAAAAAACTACATGTAAGTGATGACAGGGCTGAACTAATTCTAACACCAGGGGGATGATCTATATTACTATTGTAGAGGACCATAATGTGATGCTACATGCCAAATATATATGCTCTGATATCTGAAGGAGAAGGAGATTTTGAAGACATGTTTACTTATAATATAAATCTGTGTAAACTAAGTGACACTTTTGACAGTAGGGATATGATTTATGTATATTTTATAGAAATCCAGTGGGCAATATTATGTGTAATGTATTTAAGCTTGGGGCAGTGTAGTTCACACATGAAGACTTTAATGTGCTTTCTATTTTAAAATTATATCAACTAAGGGACACCCGGGCCATTATGAACATTATTTTTAAGTCTATTCTTAGCACTTGTGACTTGCAATAAAAACATTAAACAAAATTCATCAAAAATGATTAAATAGCAATACATTACACTAAACTTGTTCTGCTTCACCTATTAAGGCAGTTAACATCTATATAACAAGAGCCCGGTTTGAGCCTGGTGATGCCTCTTGTAGTTTCAGAGTTATGTCCCTATGAAAAAGTTCAAAATGCAATAATTCCAAAATTAGGCAAGGCAGAGTTACTGTTCTTTGCACTGCACTTCTAATCAATATGATCTATCAACCTACAAAGTTTCTTGTTGATATCTCTTATGGTTTCCGAGTTATGTCCCGGACAACTTCAAAAAGTAAAAATAAAGAAAGGGCAATAACTCCAGAATTAGGCAAGGCAGAGTTATGATTCTTGTGCACTGTACATCTTCCCATGAGATATATCTACCTACAAAGTTTCATGTTGATATCTCTTATAGTTTTACAGCTATGTCCTGGACAAGATTTTTCCTAAAAGGGGAGATAATTCAAAAATGAGGCTTAACAGAGTTATGGTTCTTTTGCACTGCACTTTTACTCAATGAGATCTATCAACCTTCAATGTTTCATCTTGATATCTTTTATAGTTTTAGAGTTATGTTCAGGACAAAGTTCAAAGTGTTAAAAATTAACAAAGGGCAATAACTCCAAAATTAGGACAAAAAGAGTTATTGTTCTTATGCACTGCACATCTACCCATTGAGATCTATTCACCTACAAAGTTTCATGTTGATATCTCTTATAGTTTTAGAGTTATGTCCAGGACAAGATTTTTCTATAAGGGGAGATAATTCAAAAACCGGGCAAAATAGAGTTATGGTTCTTTGACACTGCACTCTCCCTCAATGCCCTCTACCACTGTATGAAGTTAAAAACAAATTATCTCCAAGGGTTTTCAAGTCATGCACCGGACAAGACAACGGACGGACAGACGGACAAGGCGCCGACAATATGCTCCCCCCGAAATTTTTCGGGAGCATAAAAACATATTCAGATCATTTTTAATACATGTAGAAAATTATTTGACAAAACTGGTACTGATGCTGTCATACCAGTAATTTTACATAAGAATATCTATATACTTACTCTTTCCCCCACAGCCCTCTTCATCATCACCATTGGAACAATCTGTGATACCATCACATGCTGCAGATGCCTCAATACACTGCCCATCATCACAAATAAATGAATCTTGTGAAACATGCTGAAAATGAGAATAAAACATGCTTATCACACAATCATATACAGATAGATAGCGAAGGATGGATTAAAATATTACTGTCATAATAACAGGGCCTGCTGTTAAATTACATAAAATTATAAAATTGCTGAATATAACCACTCTACTATCAATAATACCTGGTTGTAGTAAAGGACTTATAGAGAGAGCAACTGTCATAAGTCATAAATAACAATCAATGTTCTTCCAATTATAGAAGAGAACAGACAACTGTCATAATGTCACCAATGTACTGCCAATAATACAACAGAACAGACAACTGTCATAATGAAATCAATGTGCTTCCAATAATACAAGAGAACAGACAACTGTCATAATGTCACCAAAGTGCTGCCAATAATATAAGAGAACAGACAACTGTCATAATGCCAATAAAACAAGAGAAGTGACAACTGTCACAATGTCACCAAAGTACTGCCAATAATACAAGAGAACAGACAACTGTCATAATGTCACCAATACAGGCAACTTCCATTATTCACAAATGTGCTGCCAAGAATACAAGAGAACAGACAACTTCCATTATTCACAAATGTGCTGCCAAGAATACAAGAGAACAGACAACTTCCATTATTCACAAATGTGCTGCCAATAAAACAAGAGAACAGACAACTTCCATTATTCACAAATGTGCTGCCAATAAAACAAGAGAACAGACAACTTCCATTATTCACAAATGTGCTGCCAAGAATACAAGAGAACAGGCAACTTCCATTATTCACAAATGTGCTGCCAATAAAACAAGAGAACAGACAACTTCCATTATTCACAAATGTGCTGCCAATAAAACAAGAGAACAGACAACTTCCATTATTCACAAATGTGCTGCCAAGAATACAAGAGAACAGGCAACTTCCATTATTCACAAATGTGCTGCCAATAAAACAAGAGAACAGACAACTTCCATTATTCACAAATGTGCTGCCAAGAATACAAGAGAACAGGCAACTTCCATTATTCACAAATGTGCTGCCAATAAAACAAGAGAACAGGCAACTTCCATGATTCACAAAATGTGCTGCCAAGAAATACAAGAGAACAGGCAACTTCCATTATTCACAAATGTGCTGCCAATAAAACAAGAGAACAGACAACTTCCATTATTCACAAATGTGCTGCCAAGAATACAAGAGAACAGGCAACTTCCATTATTCACAAATGTGCTGCCAAGAATACAAGAGAACAGGCAACTTCCATTATTCACAAATGTGCTGCCAAGAATACAAGAGAACAGGCAACTTCCATTATTCACAAATGTGCTGTCAATAAAACAAGAGCACAGACAACTTCCATTATTCACAAATGTGCTTCCAATAATACAAGAGAACAGGCAACTTCCATTATTCACAAATGTGCTGCCAATATTACAAGAGAACAGGCAACTTCCATTATTCACAAATGTGCTGCCAATAAAACAAGAGAACAGACAACTTCCATTATTCACAAATGTGCTTCCAATAAAATAAGAGAACATGCAACTTCCATTATTCACAAATGTGCTGCCAATAAAACAAGAGAACAGACAACTTCCATTATTCACAAATGTGCTGCCAAGAATACAAGAGAACAGGGAACTTCCATTATTCATAAATGTGCTGCCAATATTACAAGAGAACAGGCCACTATCATCATGATAACTGTAGTGTATATATTGTATAGACTTACTGCATTATAACTGTAGTGAATATATTGTATAGACTTACTGCATTATAACTGTAGTGAATATATTGTATAGACTTACTGCATTATAACTGTAGTGAATATATTGTATAGACTTACTGCATTATAACTGTAGTGAATATATTGTATAGACTTACTGCAAGATAACTGTAGTGAATATATTGTATATACTTACTGCATTATAACTGTAGTGAATATATTGTATAGACTTACTGCATTATAACTGTCGTGAATATATTGTATAGACTTACTGCATTATAACTGTAATGAATATATTGTATAGACTTACTGCATTATAACTGTCGTGAATATATTGTATATACTTACTGCATTATAACTGTAGTGAATATATTGTATATACTTACTGCATTATAACTGTCGTGAATATATTGTATAGACTTACTGCATTATAACTGTCGTGAATATATTGTATAGACTTACTGCATTATAACTGTAGTGAATATATTGTATATACTTACTGCATTATAACTGTCGTGAATATATTGTATAGACTTACTGCATTATAACTGTCGTGAATATATTGTATAGACTTACTGCATTATAACTGTAGTGAATATATTGTATATACTTACTGCATTATAACTGTCGTGAATATATTGTATAGACTTACTGCATTATAATTGTAGTGAATATATTTATAGACTTACTGCATTATAACTGTCGTGAATATATTGTATAGACTTACTGCAGTCTGCTTCATCTTCACCTGATGTACAGTCGTGAATATGATCACATCTATATGTATCATTTACACAGGAACCATCATCACATTGGAGCTGGTATGGCATACACGCTGAAACAAGATATACTTGTAAATTGAGTAGTAACAATATATAAAATATTGAATCTTTAGTAATATTTAACCTTCTAAATTTCTAATATGGACTCTTAAACATCTAGCTTCTTTTCCAGAACCTGTCAATTTATTAATTTTGAGATATCGAGATGAAAATTTCAATTTAGTATGTC